TTTGACAAAAAAATAATAAATCTTTTAAAGTAAATTATTTGTAAGGATTTATATTATCATGATATTATCATTTATTTTGAAACGTGAAACAATAATGTTAAGTAGTTTAATTTTCTCTCTAAAAAGTGGTTAAGGTAATTCGCTTTTAGCCGATTGATATAATTGATTTTATTAACTAGTTTGACTTGCTGGTTATATTAGTTTATTTGACTAGCTAGTTGTAAATAGTTGATTATATAAAAGTGTTTGGTAAATAGTTGTTCATTATTAGTTGTTTCAGTATATCAAATACCCGAAAAACTAATTTTTCAATAAGCTATTTGCGAAAAGCTCTTCAAATGAGCTTTTTGAATAAGCAATTTACCAAACACCCAAATTAACTTTTTAAAATGATCAAACCTTTAATAGTGATCAATAAGCTAAAAGCTTTCTAAAAAGCTCTTTACCAAACAAAGTCTAAGTGTTTGATATTTGGCATTGACAACATTTTTTATAATTGAGAGGTTGACATAAAATTACAAGAGGGTGACACATGGAGCCTAAACTTTCCTAAGAACACCTTTCAAAATATTAATATAAAAAAATAAAGATATTTTTGACAGACTAATTTACTAAAGGTGACCAATAATATTTAATACGTGATTGGATGACTGATGAGGATCGTAAGATTTTATATAGACCACCGTCCAACGTACGTGATGAGAGTTCGTTTTGTCTTTTTTTATGGCTCGATTTTCAAAAGGTGGATAGGAGGGTATTTATTGTTTTCAATGGCATGCAATTTTGAGCTTATTTTCACATGCTGCTCAAACTAACCAACTAACACTAACCTATAAATTCTCAAAGCTATTGCTCCATAGTTTATAGTACCATAATAATTTTATAGATCAAGACCCTCAAAAATAGAATCCTCCCCGACTATGGGGAAAACAAAACCATCATCGATTTTTTTTATCTACATATTTTGCACAGTGATCTCTTTATCAGCTATATATGTTTGTGATAATTGTGACACCTCTCACCCACCTCCTTCACGACCATATCCTTATGGAAACTTCAATCCTCAATTACCATCTTCGGTGCCTCCCATAATTATGCCGTATCCTCAAAGCGTCTTCAAAGTTCTTGGCACACTAGGAACTCCTGGCACACCAGGAACACCGGGTACATCAGGAACTCCTAGGAATTATGCTGCACTAATAACTATTGGTACACCAGGTACTCCTGGTACACCAGGAACCCCAGGCACACCGGGTACTCCTCCTACCAATTCAGGCACCCCGGGAACACCTGGCACTCCTGGCACACCAGGAACGCCTGGCACACCAGGAACTCCCGGAACTCCTCCTAGCTATTATGGTCCGTTAGATACTCTTGGCACCCCAGGTACTCCTGGTACACCGGGAACCCCCGGCACACCGGGTACTCCTCCTACCAATTTTGGCACTCCCGGTACTCCTGGAACACCTGGCACACCAGGCACTCCTCCGAGTACTTATTTCACACAGGGAACTCCTGGAACACCAGGAACGCCTAGCACACCAGGTAATCCCGGAACTCCTCCTAGCTATTATGGTACGTTAGATACTCTTGGCACCCCAGGTACTCCTGGTACACCGGGAACCCCCGGCACACCGGGTACTCCTCCTACCAATTTTGGCACTCCCGGTACTCCTGGAACACCTGGCACACCAGGCACTCCTCCGAGTACTTATTTCACACAGGGAACTCCTGGAACACCAGGAACGCCTGGCACACCAGGTACTTCCGGAACTCCTCCTAGCTATTATGGTACGTTAGATACTCTTGGCACCCCAGGTACTCCTGGTACACCAGGAACCCCCGGCACACCGGGTACTCCTCCTACCAATTCTGGTACCCCGGGAACTTCTGGCACACCAGGAACCCCCGGAACACCTGGCACTCCTCTGAGTACTTATTTCACACAAGGAACTCTTGGGCCACCTAGAACCCTTGGCACACAAGGCACCCTTGGGAGAAGTAGATTTTACTTTCATGGTGAAGGTTACGCTCCTTTTGGAATTAGCAAAGAAGGTGACATGTATCTTGGAGGAGAAAATGCTCCTCCAAGAATAAGTAGGGGAGGTGATGGGTCTTCTCCATAAAGAGGCGAATGTGGTGGTGGTGGTGCCAAGAACAGGTTGATGGATTATAGAGTCCACCATGTAGGGGTGGTAGTGACGGCGATGTCTTGAAAGTAACTTCATCATCACCTATTACTCAATTAGTACTCCACAAACTAAGGCTATGCTTGGCTTTGCTAAGAGGTTGGGTGCATATTTGGTTTTCTATGGAAATGTGAGTTGTCAAGAGCTAAATTAAAGGCAGCTTTATGTCTATGCACATTGACAAGGCCCTCATTCTGATAGCTCTCACCATCCTTGCAACTTATGTATTTTCTAATTTGTGTTATCATTGAATTAAATTTGAAGAAAAATGTATTGTACGTGTTAAGATATTGTAATTTTTTTTCTATGTTAGTCGAGTTTTGTTATTGGTGTTGCTTGGATTATAATTTAATTTGCTACAAAATTAAATGGTTGCATAACTTGCATTCTTTTTCCGTTGTTAATGTGTATGAGCTAGCTTCAAGTATATACTAAAGGCTAATAAAATTGAGACGTTATATATATATATATATATATATATATATATATATATATATATATATATATATATATATATATATATATATATATATATATATATATATATTATATTGGTCATATTTATCCCTTCCCAGTTCCTATTGTACTATCATATTTAACTTAAATATCATTTCAAAATTGTTGAATTACATACAAATAAGTTATTGTAAATCTTTATAAATTTTGGTAAAATCGTGTATTATACATTTGTACGGGACTTAAGCTTGTGATAGATTAACCTTAAAGCTCCAAAATGTATTCCTTAGAAAATGATTAAAGTCTAGAAGTTTTATATTTTTATTGTGAGAAATTTTCTTTAAGGGCATCCCGTACAACCGAATTAAAGCCCACATCAATATAATGCATGGCAAATTAGCATTATCTAGATCTCTGTATCTATCAGACCATTACTCTCTCATAAAATCTACCCATCTATCTTCATTATACTCCATAATCTGACCAACACTTTCGCTACGTACGTAGCGTCAGATCCATTCCCCTTATCGTAGCACCAATTAACTATGTATTTTTGGTAGAGATTAGTGAAGTGGCGGTTCTTGAACCTTTTACAACAAGGATGACTAATTAAGCGTCTAAGCCAATTACCATCTACGTTATCAATATGTAAATAAAATAAAAATAAAAATAAAAAAAGTATATAACGGAAAAGCACAAGGTTCAATTTTTTTGCATTGTAAAAAAAAAAAAAAAAGATACTCAAAAAATAAATTTAATAAGTATTCAATGTAACTATTATCTAATACCTCCAGGGACGAAAGGCCTGAAAAATTCATCTTTATAAGTATAATACGTGAAAACTATAACAAATAATATATAACGTATGACCCGAGGCATCGCCCGGCCTAAACACTAGTTTTGACATTATAAAAGGAGTATGTATTTTATTTTTTTTTAACGGAAAAAAGGAGTATGTATTTAAGGCAATACATTTTTTAAATTTATAACTTCAGAAAATTAGGGGGGATGGGACTCCTAAGAGCATCAATATGAAGAGTCTCTTGGATTCAATTACTTGACCACATGCTATGTGCTACGAAAGTTGTTAATCAATTACGAGTATTCATTTTGGTGTAAAGACAATCATAAATGACAAATAATGTACACGCGATATATTCTTTTTAAACAATTGTATTGTGTTGACTGTTGACTAATGTTCGTGTGAACTATATCATGTAGGTCTACATGTCTTGTTGTGCCATGCCAACAAACCCCTTAATAGACTTTTATATTTTTGGTAAATTGTTCAAAAATAAAGGCCCAACACGGTCCTCCTGTTATGCTCCATACCAAATGTTACCTATGTTTCATAGGAAGCACTTCTTGACGTGCCTAAACGATCTTATTAGTCCAACTATGGCGATTTCAAGAGTTTTATTTTTATTAAAGTTATGGTTAATTAGATTGAGCGAAAACTTTTAGCTAATTTATGCTTGTGTATAGTCTCATATGAATAAAATCTAGCAGGATAGAAAAATGACAGTTTTATTTTTGTAAACTGAATAGTAAAGCTTGGGTTTTGTAATTGATAATTGTTATAATACTTTCAATATATATTCTATTTTTTATCACAAATGGGGTGGTGGCGCAGTTGGCTAGCGCGTAGGTCTCATAGCTATGTTGAGTGATCCTGAGGTCGAGAGTTCGAGCCTCTCTCACCCCAATTACATTTTTTTTTTTTTAATTTATTTAGTTTTGTACCATTTAACTTTTAGCCTATAAAATTCTGATTTTGGTATTGCATTATTACCCTCCTCGCTACTACACTGTTTCAATTGAGTAATTTGCATCTAGTTGTGTTCAATTCGCGGATTTTTTTTCAATTAATGGTGAGTGACAAATTGGTATTTAACTTAACATCAAGTGATCATTAGCCCTTTTTAGAGCTAGAGTTGGCGCGTATTGCTATGCTCAACATGAATTACAAGCTGCTAGTTTATATGCTCTACTGAAATAGAGCATGAATTGATGGTATTTATCATTCTTACTGCCTTTACTGGCAATGCTTTTGGTGCACATGACTGCTTTGCCTTGCTTTATGCTTAGACTAGTGTGTCTACAGGCTTTGATTCTACCGGTGCATGTAATGTGTGCGTACAAATATCAAGTGGAGAACAAAACAAAACAAAATCAGTAACCGCGGTTCAACATGTAAGGATCGATCTGAAGCCTATTTGTGTGGCCTCCAGTTGCTGTAAACTAACTAGCATAGGGTCTCTAACAATGAAGTCCCTGCTGTCTACTGAGGATTTAAGAATTTTCCTTTTGTTCATGAAGAGGACTACTGAAATAGAGCATGAAGCCTAACAGTTGCAGGGTAATACTCTGACATGCAGAAGAAAACTCTACCAGATACACGAAAAGCCACAGCTCAGTGTTTATGTATTACATACAGCTGAGGTACATTAAAACTTGGAACAGCTGCAAATCTGAAGGTAAATGTTACATGGGAGCTCATGTAAGAGCTACTGTGAGAATAGATTGGAGTTGCGAAGGGCCAGGACTGTGCTTATCGTCTTCACATTCTGCAAGTGCTTGCATGACTGATTCCATGGTTGGCCTTTTGATTTTATCATTCTCCACACAAGAAAGTCCAGCCTCAATCATCATAGCAGCCTCAATCCCATGAATAATCTCAATTCTCCCATCCTGTTTCGATATTTCCTTCCAATTTAGGGTCTACAAAGGCATCTTCCCATGAATTATCTCCATTCTCCATTCTGTTTGTATGGTCTTATATTACTATTAAAAAAATTAATAAAAAAATTGCTAAAATTAATTAAATTACCAAAATTCTTCAAGTCCACAAAAAAAGGAAAAATGTTACAACTATCATTCATACTCCACATAACATTTACAATCAATACAAAAACGGAAACAAATCAATAATTTTTTTACGAATAATTCAGATAACACTCGTGCATAGATAAGGATGAACATGAATATCGAGTCATAGAGTGCCAGGAAGGTGCATTAGCATTTCGTCTTCACATTCTGCAAGAGCTTGCGCTACTGATTCCATGGTTGGCCTTTTGTTTCTATCATCCTCCACACAAGAAAGTCCAACCTCGATCATTATAGCAGCCTGATTCCTGCTGAAACGCCCTTCCAATCTTGGATCCACCAAGTCTTCTACCCATGAATCTTCTCCATTCTGAATTTTCCTTTTAGCCAACCGAACAAATTTTACCATTTCTGGTATTTCCTCTATGCCATATTGTTCATCATCTACTACCCAACTCGATAGTCTTATACCCCTTACAAGCTCTAGGATCACGACTCCATAACTGTAGACATCGACTTTTGCAGTAATGGGAAGATTGATTGCCCATTCAGGAGCCATATAACCTTTTGTGCCTCTTATCCTAGTCAGCTCTGATGAACCATGACCCCCTCTTTGACTTAACTTTGCAAGGCCGAAGTCTGAAATTTTTGGCTCGAAATTCTCATCTAGTAGTATATTTTCAGGTTTGACATCACAATGAATAACCCATTCTAAGCACTCATGGTGAAGGTAAGCTAAGCCTTTAGCTGTGCCTAACGCGACTTTGAACCTCTCTTTCCAACCAAAAACAGTTCTGGCCAAGAACAGGTGTCTGTCCAATGAACCATTTTCTACAAACTCATATACTAAGAGTCTATGTTTTCTTTCGGAACAAAAACCCCACATTCGTGCGAGGTTCATATGATTAATTTTACCAATTGTGCTCACTTCAGCCCAAAATTCTTCCTCTCCTTGGACCACATTTTCTAGTTTCTTCACAGCAACTACTCTGTCATCTCCTAGAACACCCTTGTAAACGGTACCAAATCCTCCTTTTCCTAGAACTTCCTTAAAGTTAACCGTTGCTTTCTTGAGCTCGCTGTAGCTGAAGCTTCGGAACTGATTTGAAATGGCACGATATCCATCTTCCATAGAAGCTGAAAGACCATGCTTCCTAAAAAGAAACCACCACCCTATTACTAAAAGGACTACTTCAATTGCACCAATGACAGTAGCAAATGAGTACAGATAAACCCACTTGAATCTTTGATTGGTTATGTCATATGTGTTTGGCAGTACTACTATTTTACTTCCACAAACAAGATGAGACACATTCAGGATTGCAGGTTCTGATGTCTGTGCACCTCTTGGTAATCGAAGATATAAGCTACCTGGAAAAGTAACCACCCTGACTCCATTGAAAAGGGAACTTTTTGTGAAGCATATTCCTTCACCAGTTAGTCGGTAGCTAAATGCTTGACAACGGCAATCTTCCAAGCAAAGTTGCCTACAAAATTCATAAGAAGCAGGTTTAGTGTAGTTGAGATCAAACCCATAGTAATCGAGGTGGGAGATCTCAACAAACTCAGAGTCAGAGCAACTTCTATGAAATTTCGGCCTGCACCCTTTGCTCCAGTCACTTATATCAGTGGGTTCATAGCTAGGCGGACAACTACATTTTGGCTCCGGTGTATATTCACAAATTCCATTTCTACCACAAAGACCGTGAATATCACATGGTTTTGAAACTGCTTGCCAGGTTATATTCCAAAAACCAGACGATTCATTTAAGCTGTAAATCCTCAAATTCCCATCGAAATCCATTGTTAATCGTCTCTTGATCCCAGAACCTACATCTAAAGAGCTAAACTGTAGTTGATCACTTGCAGAAAAGGTGCCCTTATCATCAAGCATGCCAATCCTACTACTGTTATAAGTTGTTCTACCATTTTGAAACGGATCAAAAGCAATATTAGGCCAGTAAATGCTAGAAATTTCAGGTCCATCATAAATCATTCTAAGCACATTATCATTATCAAAAAAGAAACTAAAATACCCGGAACCAAACATCCGAGGACCTATCCTAGACAACAATCTTTTGTTCTTAGTAAACAGTTGATGAGGAAGCAAAGTATCAGTAGGAAAATCAAAGCTTTGCCAAAGAATATTACCACTATTATCCTTAAGAACAAGGTTCCCTGTGTTGAGAAGTTCTGCTGTTTCCGCAGTTGTTGACGTCGTATTTGTTTCCCAAGCAGTTGAACCATCATAATCTGTCAACAACAGTACACCATTTTTCTTCAGAGTTAGCCTAGAGCCACGCCGGTTAACCGGCTTGTCTCGGTTGGCCACCCAAACAACAGTTCTTTCCTTTGAATTGGTAAACCAGATTGAGAAGTAATAAGCATTGGTTCCGAAACTCGAAAATCCACAGCTGAAGGTTCTGTCAGGGGAAATGAGGAGACCATCATCAGTATCTTTGACAGCTAAAGAAGAACCTCTTGACAGATGATTTCTGGCTAAAACTACTGATGCAAAAGAACTGAAAACAAAGAGAAGGAAGAGATTTCTTTGGTTACTGTTTCTCATTGTTTGGTAATTGAATTCTGATCCATTCCTTTGGCTGCTTTCTATATATAGTAACTTTGTATACAACCAGCCAAACACCAATCAAATTTGACTTTTTTTTCTTCCTTTTTCTGACAGGGGTAGCCAGGTTTGACTTTTTAAGAAAATACTAAGTACATATATAAAGCAGTTGAAATGGCAATTTACCAATATTATTATGCTATTTTTAGAAAGTTAAATTAAAAATTTTATGCCGGCCTAAGGAGTTCAGGCTTTATTTGGTTTATGATAATGACACAAATAATTGATTAAGAAAACATTAACTGAATGCAGCCTAAGAAAATTACAACTTGGGATTAAATTTATAGCAAGTCTAAATATGCTCATAATTAATTTTATTGATAAAGTAGGAGAGCAATATTGAATTTCTGATTAAAATCAAAGTATAAATTACAGATATGGTCATATAATATTGCAAGTGGTATTGGAGATTTGGAAGTGGTTGCAAGTTGTTCCTAAATAGAAGTATATATCAACTAGGCAACAATTTCACAAAAATATTTAGGCCATGTTTAGTAATTGGCTTTTTAATGGCTTTTTGGTTAGCTTTTGGCTTTTGGCTTTTTTATGTGGTCAAACAGCCAAAAAATGTGTTTGGTAATTGGCTTTTTAGTCAGCGAAAAAGCTGACTTTTAAGCCAAAATGAAAAAGGTGCTTTGAGTAGCTTTTTTGTTGGCTTTTGGCTTGTTGACCCACAAATTATCTAATAACCAGCCAACAACCAACAATTAATTTACCAACCACTTTTATAAACAGCCAATTTCAAAAGCCATTATAAACAGCTAAACATTCCAGCTAGTCAAACAAGCCAAGTGAACCAGTCAACCGCCAACAGCCATTTGCCAAACAAGGCCTTAATCTGCTAATTTATTTTTCTTATTGTTTTGGCTGTTACTTCACATTATATTGTCAGAACATAAATCTATAATTGCCTATGATATAAACAGCCCTATGGGCCAAGTATTGTAAGCATTTAATAAATTTTCTTCAATTGTATTTCATAAATTTCAGCAACAAAATAACATGTTGATAGTACTTGTAATATTGTTATCTAATTAAACTTAATACGAAGCATCAATAAACGCACAATGTTTTGTTGGTATCAATAGAATTCTTTGTTGGTATTAAGATAGTACCATCTAAATACAATTTTATACCGAGAAATGCTCTCTCTATTTCTACTTTTAGCTTCTGATAATTAACCTATAGAATCATGTTGATCATTCTTAATGGAAAACTGGGAAATTGATTTTGGCACACCCTTTATTGATTTTAGCACACCCGTATGTGAGAAGAGCATAGAAAATTGTGCTCTCACATAGGGTTGTACCAAAATCAATTGGGGGTGTGCCAAAATCATTTCCCGGAAAACTGAGAGTGAAATGTTGGACTGTCTTGACTCTTGAGCAACTGTTTATACTTATTGTAGGTTTCTTGTGCATAATCAGTTTTTTGGTATATAAGGAGCCTCAACATGACTTTACCAATATTCCGTCAAAAAACAATGACTATCAATTATGGTAGTTGACATCCATGATCCACATAATAGCTCTTACAATATCAACCCAATCATTTTTTTTTTTTGGGATGTTTATATATATAAAGTGTTAATAAATTGTTCTCATCTAGTAACATGAATATATTATAACTAAATATGACAGCAACCACAGCAAAAAGTCAGAGCAGCAGCCACCAGAAACCTTGGGCTACAGTCCAGAAGTAGTTTTCATGAAAATAAAACAGCTACCTGAGCTGATAATGAATTCAGCACAACAGACACCAAAAAAAAAAAAAATCTTGATTGAAAATCTCTTCTGAATATTTAATTTGATTTTTCGATTTTTCTAATTAGGGGTTCTTGTAATTTTCTGTATATCTGTTCTAGATTGTCACACACTAGTGTTCAAAAACAAGGTCCTACAAAGATCACATGTTTATCTTCTAATAAGCACAGTGAGACACATCAAACATACATTAAAGAGTAAGCTCTATGGTTTTAAAAATCTACCATGATCAATTGCATACATGTGGACACAATTAAAACACGGAACGACAACTACAAGACTGTCAAAAACATCAAGATATATGTGCTTTCATGTACTCGTACCCCAAAATTGTTACAAAAGATAGGCAGAAATGGATTGCAACTCTTCTGTCAAAAATCATTTCATACAAGTAATCTGTCCACAATTATTTCCTCCGTTAGTCAGCAAGTCGCGTCGTTTGTTTGGGTAAGTTAACGCTGGGAGAGAAGTTACAGAAACAGCCCTACCCAATGGCAATATATTTACAAAAAATGCCACCTGATGTGCCAAACAAGCCAATCAGGCTGATGGACTTGTATTTCCTCCAATTTTCTTTTATAGCATTGACAATATGCACATAAAGCAAGCTTATTCTTAATCAAATACGTAGTATATATGAGTTAATTATGTTCATTGACACCTTCAGAATCCACAAAGGCAATTAAGAGATTACTCAAAGCATCATCACTGATAAAAAAAGGGGAATAAAAAAGAAGTAATTGCTCAAAATGCTCACCAAGATGGCAACTGTTTGACTTCATTTGAAGTGCTGGACTAGGAATGTTTTGAGTGTTTGCAACGAAACCACAGCCATCTGGAGACTCGGAGAGCAAGAGTGAAACCTCAGACACAAAAACATTTCATCTCCTCTTCTGAAAATTCAGATAAAGTGGGATCAACTATCTCCAGAAACCTACCATCTTGACCAAGTTTCCGAGCTCAATCCACCAATTCCTTGCCAACTTTCAGACACTGCGCGACACACCCCACTGTCCTTGCCATTTCTCATAAACTGTGGAATCCTCCTACCACTAATAACTTCAAGGGGAAGAACCCCAAATGCATAAACATCTCCCTTGGAAGTCAAACGTTCCAGTAAACATGTATTTCGGATCAATATAACCTATGTTTTTGGAAATATTCTGTCATAGCATCTGATGTATAGTCAGTAAATACATGTGCAATCCCAAAATCCAACAACTTTAGAATTGAAACTATTGTCAAGAAGTACATTTGCTAGGCCTAAGGTCGCGATGCAACAAAAAAAAAAAGCATTAACACATTCAAGACCACAAGCAATGCCAAGATATATAGAAGCTCTCATAGACCAATTTAACTGGAATTTTTATCATCTAATAATACAGCTAAGCTTCTGCCTTCCACAATCTCGTACACCATGACTATATGATCATCTTCAGCTATTCAACAACCACATTCGGATGCCTAATCTCAGTCATAATGATGACCAATACCCTTAACTCTATACACATCCTCGTATCCGCGTTACGTGGCATAAATACCTTAACTGCCACCACAGTCCCATTTTCTCAAGTGTCCTTGTAGCTAGTTGAAAGTTCACCTATGCCTAATTTTGTGGTAAAATTGTTTTATCTTATGCAACTCTTTTAAGGAAATTTTTCTCAAGTTTACTTTTATAGCTAGTTGAAAGTTCACCTATGCCATTTTCTCAAGTGTCCTTATAGCTAGTTGAAAATTTTCTTGCATAATTCCAATGTTTTGTCTTAAGTTTAAAATTTTTATTGTTGTACTCCGTACGAGATAGTGCCGACACCGTTAAGGATTAGTCGCTAGGTTACAGTATGCAGCATTGCAGCTAATCATTGGTTAAATAGGATGTCGGCTTAATACCCATGTCGGCCTTTTACTCAGCCACGTGGAAAGCTGATTTAGGCCATGTAGGCACCTGCTGCCTACAAGGTCGGTCTACCACCTATTGATAGGTGACACTAGCTTGGTTATCTTCCTATAAATACCCAATGATATTTTAAACTTTTACCAACCCTTAAGGATTTACGGTACCGGAGCTCACCCGGAATCATTGTTATTCTTATTGATTACAATTACAAACCCTCTTTGACTTATAATCCCAACAAGGCAACAACACTTCATAATAACCTATTAACAAGACTAAATATGAAAAATCATTGTAATTTTAATACCCAGATATAAAATTTGAATTAGAAATGGTTAATTTATAATGGGTTGTGAGAAAACTGCGTAAAACCAGACGAAATTTGAAGTAAAAAAAGGATTACAAGATGAGAGTAGAAATCAGACAAATATAGTTTAAACTATTGAAAGAAATTAATTCTGCAAAAGAATTAGGTTCAACAAATTAAAGATTGGATAATGCTAGATAATGTACCTGGAAATTTGGAGTGGTGTTAATTGGGAGAAAGAAAATTGATTAAGGCGATAAACTACTGTAATTAATTTATTAGATGTTCATTACAGGGTTACGACTTTACGACTTGAAGTCTTGGAAGAACGATGAATTGACTTGAAGTCTTTTGTTCTTGACTACTCACTTTTGATTTATGTAGCCAACTCACTTATCGAAGGGCTTTGAGTGATTTTCATTTAAAATAATTTTAGTTTGATTCGGGTGGGGGAGTGGTGGGTGGCTGGTTTGGTTTGGTTCAAGTGGGTGGGGGTGGGGGTGGGGGAGGGGGAGTGGTGGATGGTTAGGGTTCGATTTAAATGGGGGAGTGACGGGTGGTTATGGTTTGGTTCAAGTGACCACATAAGACGGATTTTTTTTAATAATTACCGTTAAATGGTAATGATACTCAAACAAATCTTCAAATAATGGTACTCTAATTGTTTTTAAAAAAAACATAAATGGTAGATATTCACAAAAAAGTGTAAAGTAAAACCTAGTTCACTTTGGCCATGTTTGGTAATTGGCTTTTTGGTTAGCTTTTGGCTTTTGGCTTTTTTAAGTGCTCAAACAGCCAAAAAAATGTGTTTGGTAATTGGCTTTTTAGTCAGCAAAAAAGATGGCTTTTAAGCCAAAATGAAAAAGCTGCTTTGAGTAGCTTTTTTGTTGGCTTTTGGCTTGTTAGCCCACAAATTATCTAATAAACAGCCAACAACCAACAATTAATTACCAAACAGCCAGCTAAACAGTCAATTTCAAAAGCCATTATAAACAGCTAAACATTCCAGCTAGTCAAACAAGCCAAGTGAACCAGCCAACAGCCAACCGCCAACAGCCATTTGCCAAACAAGGCCAAATACCTTATTTTTATTGAAATGAAATTATATTCCGTAAAAACTAAGCTGAAATTATTTTTACTTACTTGAAATCAACAAAAAAAAGTACGAGTTCCAAAAGTAAAAATTTGCAACACGGTTTACTTCATCTTTTTTTTTTTTTTTTGACAACTACTTCATCTTATTTTTG